ACACACACACACACACACACACACACACACACACACACACACACACTCTTCATCGTCTGTGTTGCCGTGGAAACGTGCCTGGTGCTGCAGGACGAGGGTGAGGCTGCTGAATATAGGATGAGCTGCAGCCTTGTTCGCCCCCGTCTCTCTCTCCCTGAATGATTATGCGAGTTGCATTATGACGAGTGACACACCCACTGATGGGGAGGCGGGGTCTATGACCTGTACTGCAGCTAGCCACCAGGGGGATGGAGACAGTTGAGTTCACTTTTGCGAGCCGTCATCCATCTTTATTTACAGTTTATGATCCGATCGGTCAGAACAAATCTGTGTTCGCTCAGTCGTGAGCTGGGGGGGGGTCAGTCTGCATCATTTATTTTCAGTCTCTGTTGAACAAACCTGCCACTCAAACCCACACAAACACCCCCCATCCCCCCATCACCTGGTTTGCTCTGGCCTTAGGTCACAGCTGGGTGTTGCTATGGCAACTGGGTCGGTCTCCAAGGCAGCGGCGGCTCTGGTTGCCGGGGAGCTTTGCTGCTGGTTGCTGTGGGCGTTTGCTGTTGGAGAGAGGAGAGAAGTGAGCGAGGAGGAGACAGACGACATTAACGTGAGGAAGTTAGGACAGATCACAAAGGTCAAAGGTCAGGGATATGAATACAGTACATCCTCTAACGGCAGCGTACGGCCTGTTCTTCCAATTGTGTCAACAGCTTGTCCCGCCCCTACAGCCGTCGCCTAGCAACAAAGCTATAGATGAAAACAGTCTTCGGTTGATCACAAATGTTGAAATGACCTTTTTAGAGGTCTTACTTTTAAAAATATTACATCTTTGAAAAACAGTTTGTCACTGAAGCACAATGAATCATGGGATACGTCGGGCCGGTAAGAATCCACCTTGTGGAGCCTCCGTCGCCCGAGGTGGGAGGACACATTTGGAGGAGCCGTTGAATTGAGACAGTTTAGTCGCTGAGACGAATTAGTCTACGAATGTCTGAACGTAAAACTGGTATCAACTCAAAGGTCAAAGGTCAAAACACTCAACAACAGTTTAACCATCACTGACTCTATAAACACACACACACACACACACACACACACACACACACACACACACACTCCACTGTTCAGAGGGACACTGCTGCCCCCTGTTGGTTAAATGACTCAGACACGAGGCTGCTGAGCCCGATGCTGTTGTCACCGGTGACTGTGGGCGGATCAACAACCAAAGAACTGATCCTTCACTTCCAGAAGTGCAGAACAGAACCGTGTTCTATTAGGGCGGCGGTGGCTGAGCGGTCGTCCTCCGACCAGAAGTTCGGCAGTTTGATCCCAGTCTGGGATCCTGCTGAACCCTGCATGGCCCCTTAATGAAGAAAGTGCTGTCCACAGATGCACTCTGTGAATATGTGTGTGTGTGTGTGTGTGTGTTTACCTGCAGTGTCCAGGTGTGTGACCTGCAGGTGGACTGGGTTGGGATCTGAGATCTTGAGTCCAGAAGCTGTAGAGGTTGTGGGGGCGTGGCCAGTCACTATCTTGAGGGCTGACTCCAGCAGCTGGCTCTGATTGGAGGAGAGGGGAGCCAATGAGCGGTCAGGCAGCAGAGTGGTGAATCAGCAGCACCTGAACAGGTGAGCGTGTTTACCTGCAGCTGCAGCTGTTGACTGTGCAGCTTTTCCAGGTGTGTCCGCTGGTTTAGGCCCCGCCCCCTTTCCCCATCCTCCCTGACGACGGAGCAGACAGTGATGTCAGAGTGATGTCAGAGTGATGTCACAGGTAGAGTTTTACACATTGAAATGACGACGTGTTTGATCAGAAAATAAAAATGAGTCGACTTCTCGTGTTTGAAGAAACCTTCAAACAGTTTCTCAGTTTTGCTTGAATATGATTTAAACAGATTTTTTAAATCGATGATGCAGCTGTTCTGGTCCTGGTGAAGGTAAATGTGTGTGTGTGTGTGTGTGTGTACCTGTGTGTGTGTGTGTGTGTGTGTGTGTGTGTGTGTACCTGTGTGTGTACCTGTGTGTGTGTACCTGTGTGCCTGCAGCAGCTGCTGAACACCGTCCGTCAGCTGACACACACGAGCCTCCATATCTGACTGAGCCTGCACACACAGGGAGAAGATGATAGAGGTACTACAGTAACTTACTGTAGTACTGACAGTGACTGCAGTAGTGTAGTATGTGTATACACATACACATATATACTGTATATACACACACTGAATCAACATGTACCTTGATGAGAGGAGCAGTAGCTGCGACAGCAGCCGCTGCAGCTGCAGCTGCTGCGTTGGTGGCGTTTCCCAGACGACCAGAGAACCGCTCCTCCTCAGTCTGGACCCCCGCATCACCAACTGCATCCTGGGAGCTGGTCTGGAGTTGCCTCGGGTTCAGCAGCTCCACTTTGACGTCACTCCTGTGGGGGGCGCTGTGAGACCTGGGCAGCAGAGACAACACCAAACAGAGTTTGAACATCCACCATAAATATATATATAAATGTATATATATGTATA